TGCTGCTCCACCCCACTTAAAAGATGTCAAGGCCAGCGTTAGCCCCGTTGTGAGCGCCGAGGAATGGAAATAACGGGCTTGCAGGGATGTGGCCCCTGAATCTGACTGCTGCCCTCAGGCAGCTTGTGAGGCCATTTCCAGAAGACACTGTGGGTGTGCAGCATGGCCCTCTCGCCAACTCTCCTGGTGTGAGAGGGATGTCTCACCACGCCAGAGGCCTGTGACAGAGAAAAAGCCTTTCAGAAAGAGCTTGCCTTTCAGCCCCTCGCCCCTGAGCTTCAGCAGGAGGAACAGGCCATTTTCTCTCACTGGTGGCTTCCAAGTGCAGTGGTCCTGCCCCCAAAGAGCAGGTCTTGCCTGAAGGGCCAAGTAGACTCACATGAGGACTCGTGGGTCACGTAGCATACCTGAACTGTGGGCGGGCAGCTGGCCACAGATGCTTCTGTGAAAAGGATCTCAAACGTGGCCAGAGTCCTGTACAGCAGGAAGACAGAACTACCTCACCTCTTGGGCAGCACGTCATGTCCAGCTGCGGTGGAGAGCGGGGTGGTTACAGAGCAAGGGGCCGAGGATGGGGAGTTGCCATGCAGAACTGTAAGCCTTCAAGAGAAGGGGGAATTGGGACGAGCAGTTTGGACATCTCGCCCGTAGATGGTGCCATCGCCTCACACTAAGGGGATGTTGCAGCTGATGGGCTTGTACTCGTGTTCTGCGGCCTCCTCTTTGCCATGTAGGTAGCCTATACACTGGACTTGTGACTTTCATTGTGTCTCTAATTCATTTGATTTACACCGACCATGGTTTCAAGTTAACAATTCAGAGCTTGAACCTTCACTAGAAAGCTCAGTGATGTCAGGCTTTAACTGCTCACCTCAATGAAGCTGCAAACCTTTACAACACTGTAAATTAGACCGCTTCTGTTTTGAAACCTCATACTTGAATATCTACTTAGAAATGTGATCCCACATTCCAGTACCTGCTCGGACGTATGCTCTGCAAAGAGCACATGCCGCGGTGAGCAAACCCAGGTTCCTATCAACTATTCTCTGATGCGACTTTTGGGATTATGAGACAGAAAGCAACAAGCCTGTGAAATAAATCATATGAAACTTTCACTGAAGAAACTAGAAGCAAGTCCATAATTACATAAATTTCACTCTGATATTAGGGTAAGCTGCTCCACATAAAAATAGCCGAAATCTCTGGTAGCTCTCAACAGAAAACGTGAACCATTTAAATCTATAAATGAATGTGCTTTGTTTAACAGAAGGGAAATGCAAACGGGATCTCAGATGTTTCATTATTAATGGTAAGGAAACAATAAGTAAATATTTCAAGCACTGTTGCTATGAAATATCACACAGCATAGCAGCACGCGTAGGCTGACTTGTTAAACTTTAATAGTTACATTAATGAATGACTATTCAAATGCCTTGTTTGCAGGGTTATTCAAGAAAACTATTCTCACTTTTCTACGTAGTAAGCTGTGATAAACTGACCTTCAGCATTCCAAACTCCTATTCTTTTTTCTTGACGAGGCTTTACATTTTCTGATATTTCCATGAACTGCTACAGACAAATCCAATGACTGCACTTACAATAGTAACCATCCATCGGTGACGGATTAAATGATTTCTCCTAGTTTATAGGTCATTCAGAATAATAGGTAAAACCCTTTTAAAAAAACTGGATATTTAGTCATGCCCCTTTCAGTCATTGCCATTCAATGACTTCACAAACCAGCTACTGGCTTCCCATCAATATTTTTGATGAAGCTCCACTGTAAGTGCATTTTCTCCATTCTTCACCAATGCATCTCAGATAAGGCTCAGAACCCACCCAAGGAAATTATTTTTTAAAACAAGGTTTCATATAATCCAAAAAGGCCTGTTGGTTTGGGGAGGGCGAGAGGGGAAGGCAGAGATTACTGTTAAGGGCCAAAATTGAATGTGTTGTATGAGAAATGTCATCCATAAAGCACATCAGGAAAACTTTTCATCAGCAGAACGGAATATAGCCCTCTTTTTCCTGTACTGCATGGAGGCTTTTTGCACTTTTATTTCAAAATAAAAAAAAAAAAAACAATATATTTTTTAGCAAAGCGTATTATCTTTTGATACTACCTGCAGCAGGTCTTCTATGCTGTTTTGAGGAGATGGTGTTTGAAAGGTTGAATGGAGAGTTCAAAATCCAGATGCTGCAGATATCTTTCCAGAATGGGCAAGCTTTTTCTCCATCCTGGAAGGGAAGAATTTAAAAAAAAATTATCTCTCAGAAAGCTAGGTCCCGCTTTGTCTGAGGTGCTTGCCTTTATAAATAAAACTTGGAATATTTTACAGATGACAAAGTGACCCTGCTGTAATCACACCACGTTGGAGTCCTGCTGCAGCACACTCACAAATCACTGCCACAGTTTGGGACATTAGAGCAAATGAAAGCCAACATAGACAGATCTCCTCCCTCAAAGGGATTTGTTGTGACATGCCTACGTTGATCAAAACGTCTGTCTTTGTACTTGGTTCTGTTTAGATATTGCCAGTTATGGTTCTTGTGTTACAGCTTTTTTTAATATTTCTATAAGGAAGGGATGATTAATAGTAATATGAAATATTGCACTGCCACAGTTCCATAACTGTATCTATAGGTCCATAACTGTATCTTCCATAACTGAAGCTATCACAGTATTCAGACTGTTATTTGATCTGCAGTTTGAAAATGCCACATATGCAGCTTGAAAAAAATAACAAACACACATTGCTAGTTGAGCACACAAATGTATATAAAATGCTTATGTGTGAATGTGTGTAAGCAAATGTAAACAAAATGTAAATATAGTTAAAAGTGTGTCAAGAACTCACTCATTTTTGTGTGCAAACTTTTAGGGCTCCTGTGATGCAATCTGTAGTGCAGAGTAAAAGGAGGGATGATGCTGACCTGACTGCAGAATCAGTGCCTGCATTTTGGAGAGGACAGATGGGTAAGGAAACAAAGGGTGGATAACAACACGGGGACAATGATTCCAAAAGCAAAGTCAGGAGTTGAGGTGGGATGTTGGAAGCATCTTGTCCGTGAAAGTTCTTGCCTTATTTTATCGTCTTTCTTTAAGAGAAGAGTATAAAGCCCCATTAAATTCGTTTCAAATCCCACAAAATCTCTCTTGACACTGTGTGCAGTCTCAAAAGAGCTAAAGAGTCACGCTTGAAATCTGTCACTCTTGCCAGTGAACCGTGCTCCAGTCTGAAATCTGTCTGTAATGAATTTCCTATAAAAAGAGCCAAAGAATTAAAATCTGTTTATTTTGCCAAACGGTGATCCAATCTTAGGAACGTTTCAATGGGTAAAATACCTTGTGATCTTAAATTTTGCCCATTTTCAGATCTTTTAAGGAAAAAGTTTATATGATTTGGAAAGAGGCCCAAGAACCACTCTATTCACACGTTCAGACCAGTGTTTAACAGAGAAAAAAGCTGGATGGTCCAAGACTTACTTTCATGAAAATAACAATCATATGGAGGCAGACTAATATTTAATAAAAATATTTTTGTGGAAAGCTGTGGATAGATGCATCTTTTTATTGTTTTAAAAATAAGGTTCCTCAACATAGTCATTTTTGTCAGAAATCCTGCAAATCAATTTCATGCTTCAAAAGGAGTAATTTGTGTATAGTGCAGAGACATGGATGAGACTAACTTAGGTGTGTATCCTCCGCTAGTGGCCACCTAATAAGTCAAATTGAAAGGGCTAAAAAAGTTAAGTTTTTGGCTTTGTTTCTTCCTGGAAAAAATGAGTGAGGAAAACCAATTCAGTTAAAAAGAAATGTTTAACATTTTAGATTTCTGCCCTTGTGTTTTCACTGAAGGGATTTGCTTTATTCAGACTTTACAAGTAACCGCTCAAAACTCTATACTTGGTGACCTTACATTTCACTGGAAAACTACAACTAACTGCATCACCATACCGAGCTGCAGGTGCCTGTATAAAACAATACTAGTGATTGAGTCCAGCCCAGGCACAGGATACACACCTCCTGGATATAGCCCACATGTAATGGGATTTACTACATCTGCATCCATGATGAGTCCAGCCTGCTGGGCATAACCAAGGTAAAGTCACAAGACTTTTCAGGATTTGACCCTAGGTATGGCCTCCTAACACGTGAACACAACTTTGATCCAAAAAGGGGTTATATATTTATAATTACTTAAAAAAAACCAACAACCATGCCAAAACCTTTCAGAATAACTTAGCATTATTCTTACATTTTTCACTGAGTTCAAAGGAAATAGGATCAGCCAGAACCCAGTATTATTTAAAACACTACTTTCTAAATATTGTGCAATAGGCATCTTATAAATAGATTCAGGTAAGTACATAAATAAAATAACTCTCCATTGACTACGACAGGGTGATAATTAATAACATACCCATTGCAGCAAGATCATGTTGCTTGCGTCCCTCATTGTGGTATACCTAATAACCCCATCTTGCAAGCATTTATTTCTGTGAGAAATCCCCCTGGTTTCCATGGCCCCACATTCAACTCTGAACCTCTCCTGCTCTGGGCTATTTGCCATGCTGGGCCAAAACTGCCTGTCTGTGGGAGATAGGAATGCTGCACCTCTCAAGAGGCACACAGTCCTACTTGGTCGGACTGACCATGAAATTATTGCTCAATGTGCTAATTCATATATGGCTTCATTGTCTTCTTCAAGCTGCCTCCTGTGTGAGAAGCAAAGACTTGGCAGCTGTAGAATACTTTTTAATGTGGGGAGTTTCCCATGTACACAAAACCAAGTCCTATAGCACTGCCCCAGTGGAGAGGCTGGCCAAGTTTCTTCAGTAAATGCTACTGCCATTACTTCTCTTTCTTTAGCACAATTCATTTACAAGTATTAATGGAAAATATTCTAACTTGGAAAGCTCAATTTTACAATAACTACTGTGAATACTTAAGTAGAAGAAAAGCAGGCTACTAATAAACCCCTCGCACGATTCACAATTCTTGTCCTTGGAAATTGTGTCTGGAGTTTTAAGTGCTTTTATTTTATGGATATTGAAGTGCAGATTTACATCTGTCAAAATGTTCTGACATTTTCTAAAAGAGTGGTGGTACCTATTTACAGGTTTCCAAAGTGAAACATTTGTAAGAAATAAAACGTAATTTCATTTTACTTCTAAAGTACTTGTAAAGGCTTGATTAATGAACCTGGAATAGAAAAATTAATATTTTTCAATTACAATAAAGTGATGAAAATAATTTCTTTTTCTGTCTTGTCTACAAGGCAGCGTACAGTGTCTACACCTTGAGTGTACTACAAATTTAATTTTATCTTTAAGGAAAAGTGGAGGTAAAAATAGACGTCATTATATATGGTCTCCACAGGTCTCTATAACCTCTCTCATTCCTCCACAGGGATGAAAAGCTATATTTTATTTGGGAAAAACCTGATTGAATTATGTCTGAGATGAAAGACAGTGAGAAAAAAATAGGTGTCTTTCCCACAGTCAGTAATTGGGAATCCTACCTCCTACTAGATAACTTTTTAATTGAACCTTTGAGATAAAAATACAACTAATTATGCCATTTAGGTTGCGGAAGCATATTAATAAGTACGCCACAGCGTGAACTATTCATAAAAATACTACAGACTGGGGAGCCAT